TAAATATTAAAGAATAAAGAAAAATACCTAGATCAAGGTTTGATCTAGTTCAGTGCCAGGGTTAGTGTTTGGGTCAGGATCAAGGACAAAGGTCATGATTTAAAAAAAAATTGGTGTTCGTGTCAGTGTGTTTTTAGGTAAAAAGAAAAAAAAAAAGACAAAAACAAAATGCGCACTATTGTTTCTGGGCAGTATTATGGGTACAAACAAACAAATAACATACACATATATGGTATCGCTGTGATCGTCAAGAGCTGGAGAACTTCTTTTTTTGTTTTTTGGTGGTAGATTATGGTCGTAACAAGAAACACACAGCTAAATAAAAATAAATTATATTTTATTACTATTTTGGGCCAATTTTCCTTTGATAATAAAAAAAAATCAGGAGCTATCCATTACCATTTACCACCAAATGAAAACCCAATTTGTCCTGAAAAAATCAAGGTATAATCCACCTGGATGTACAAAGTAGTTGTGATGATATGTACGGTTTTACTAACACATGTCAACGTTGCAGAATTGTGCTTAGGCATTTAGATTTGTTTTACCCTTAGGCGTGAAGGAGTTAAATGATAAGCAGCTATTCACTGTTCACATCTGTGCGCTGTGATTTTATACAGTGCACTGTGCTTTTGGAATAGTTTTGCTTGCTGCATCTTCTGTGCGTTTTCTGAAAAATACACCTTCCGTGTTAGATGTCACATGCCCATTTTTCCTAGGTGTTAGAGGGGGATTGTAATCTAGAAGTGCAGTGGTTGAGGTGCAGGGAATGAAGCACCTTGGGGCTCAGTACTCCCAGGTTCATTGTGGTAAGAAGGAAAGAGGAGGAAGGGGGATGGCTTGAGGGTATGGGTTTGGTTTTTTTAATGAAATATTAGATCGGTTTATATGTGGTATTTCAGCCTATGTTGTTAAAACCTACTGGCTGCTTACCTTCAGACTACAGCATTTTTTTTTTTGCAGTGGTTTAGTTTGTGGCTAATGAGCATCCTGCTTAGTCATGTCAGACTACTGGACATTTCCTTCCTTTTCATGAGCATCTCATACTTGCTCTTATATTGTTATAGACCAAAATGGCCAACTATGTGAAAACTCATTTGCTGAAAAGAGTTCATTAAATGTTTCTATTTTTATTATTTCCTTAAATCCTTGGCACATGCCTCATGTTGTTGTTTTTGGGGAGTTGTGTGAACAGGAGATGCAGCAATAGAACACAGTGCAGAGGGACAGTCCACGGTGTAACAATATGGCACAGCCAGGGTTAACAGTCCGCACAGTGAAACTAGGGCATGGCAAGGTGAGCTGATCCACAGGGCAATAGAATGGCACAGCAAGGGTTAACAGTCCATGGAGTGGAAATATAGCACAGTCCACAGGGCAACAATAAGGCACAGCAAGGGAAATGATCATCAGGGAGGTAGTTTGGCACAACAAGGGGAGAGACAGGAGGGTTCAAGTGCTCATGCTGAGGATGCTGGATGACCCTGGGCCATGGGTGACACATGACTGGTTAAAGATGGTCTGTGGAGGCAGGTCCTAGGCCAGGTGTCTGCTGGGTCCAGAGAAAGGGAGAGGAACGATGGGTACCCTGGCCATGGATTGGAAGCTGAGGAGAGCAGTGGACACTGGCAGAGAGACGGCTGGGTAATGGGAGGCAGGGGCAGCTCCTGGAGGCTCAACCTCTGTCTGAGGTCCTCACAGGCCTATGGTGGCATCCAGGGGGACTGGCAGAAGAATTAAACACTGTTCCCCAGGCTGGGTAGATATACCTGAGCCTGGGTGTGATCCTGCGGCGCAGGCAACCTCATGCTTAGCATCAGATTGCCCAGGAAGCAGGCTCCGTCCCCTTTCTGTGCAGCTACATTAGGCATGTGGCCAGGGACGAACTGTTTGTCTCCAGCAGGGCACAGCGCAGGCAGACGAGCATGCTCTGCCTGCTTGATCCTGGCACCTGGGGGAACGAAGTCTGCGGACAGTATGAGGGAATACACATATTGGCTTCAGCATGGGGCCTGATGGCCTGGTGCCTCACACACAGGAGGTATGAGGTGGCAGGTGTTGGCTGCATGTCTCCTCACACATGTAGGTGGTATATCGAGGTGGTAGACAGGCACTGCGACAACCATTGTAAGTGCAAACTGTATCTATCAGTAGCCCATTTAAAAGGTATATTACAGATTAAAGCTGACCTCTGGGAAGTAGACAAAATCTACCTTTGCAGTGCTCTGTCCCTGCAAGGGTTAAATGCTCACCGCAGCGTCCCCCATGTGCTTGGGCTGCATTCGGATGTTTGCTCCCCACATACATTGCAGAGTTAATGGGCCTTCCCTGTGTGTGATGACACAGAGCGACTGCGCACAGCCCACTAAAGCCTACTGGATAGAGGATAAGGTAAGAAATACACCCCTATACTAAACAAGCATTTACTGAAATTGGGGGCCCCACTGCAAGGATAGATTTAGTCAAATTCCCAGAGTTCAACCCTAAAGTACTCTGAGTTCCAGAATGGTGCCTACAGGCTCCAAGACAAAATACTGCCTGTGCATTCTTCTCAAGCCAGGGTGCCCCAAATCCCAGCAAGTGTTGACACTTCAACATAGGGGTACATTTACTAAAGGCAAATATACTGTGCACCTGCTCCAGAGCTTAGTAAATGAGGTAAAGCTTTGCTTTGCAAATCATACCCAAACACATACAAGGAAATCGGCAGAGCATCCCTTCAGATCTAGAGCAACTGCACTTCCAGTGCACAGTATGTTTGCCTTTAGTAAATCAACCCCATAGTATCACATGCTGGCCCCTCCACCTCCCTCTATTATTTATTGGCTTATTATTGTGGGGTGCTTTATTGGTATGAGGGGGTAGAACCAACCCAGACTGCTACCCGTGTACATGTCAGTTGCAGCAGCTTGTGATTTGTGGCACCCAGCCTATGTTACTAGAAGTGTGTAGGGTACAAACAGACCTATTCTAAGAGAAAGGAATGTACAGTAGAAGCTACTTTGCAGGCCAAGACATGACAGACTGAAAAATGTTGTTCCTGTGGCCAACTTCTCCCCAGCAATATGCTGCTAATTGATAGTGCAGCTTACATGGCGCTAGATAATGTAACTGCACATGCTCCTATTGCCTCTTCTTCTCAGCAGCCCTGCACGCCCAGCAGCCCTGTTCACCCGACTTGCTCAGAGTAGTGGTAGCCATGTACAGATACCATTCTTGTTATTTATCCGTGCATGCTCTACTATAAGAAGTATGGGACTCTTATGGCTGTTTTGTATTTCAAAATATGTTGCTGTTTTCTAAAATTGCATTGTTCTATGACATCAGTTTAGTTTAAAGTGACAGTAAACTCTGTTTTAACAAAAGAAAATTCTATTCAAGTCTTAACTCAAAAAATATTTTTCTAATGCTGTCAGCTGCCTCCTCAATTTTGTGATCCCAATTGCTGTTAGAGAATGGCTATGTTCCTTCTCTATGGCCTTACTGTATGTAAGAACATAACCACCCTCTCTTACTTGTCACCGAGATGGACTAGAGACTACGGGGTGAGCACTGTAGTGTTAGAGCAGTGCACATGACCACAACTATGGTGGTACTGCTTGTTCCAAACAGAAGTGAAGAGGAAAAGGGGAGGTTTGAGAGTTCACAGAAGACATTACAAGGAGGCTGAAAAACATATTTAATGACAATTTGATTACAGGGCCATTAAGTAATGGATGTGTATGTAATATTTTTTAGATAATAAGGATAAAGTTTAGTGACACTTTACTAGTGAAGGTATTTTTAGGACCTAGTTGTTGTGGCCTCTGCATCAAGTGATTTGGATTATTCAGTTTTAAATATACACGCCTAGGGGCGGACTGACCATTCGAGCACTCGGGCACTGCCCGAGGGCCCAGGGTCAGTAGGGGGCCCCATGAAATGCCCCCTAGTTTTTTTTTTTTTTTTTTTTTTTTAATAGGCATTTTTGGGGTGTGCTTTGAGTGTGGGCAAGGACACGGGCCCTATGATCCCCTATTGCCCGGGGGCCACATGAATTGTCAGTCCGCCCCTGTACATGCCTAAAGTGTAAGCTGAATTTGGGCCTAAGCCATGGTACAATTTCAATTCTTTTTCTTTCCAAATCCTCTCCAGGGCTCTGACCCTTCTTAAGATAATTCAAAGGGTTCTCCCTTTTGCGCTCTCTGGAACCAGAACCCAAGCTAGAATTCTGCTTGATGATGAAGTTTGGTATTGCCCGTCTTCCAGTTTATAACTGGTGGGTACGTTTTTGTATGATAAAGACTACACATCAGTAGTCCCAACTGTAGGCCAGCAGCTAGGTCTATTAGTGGAAGGTAAAATTAGAAATAATCACACTTTATTTCCGCAGGAAATTTATGTAATGTGAAAGTTAGCTTTAAAGTGGTTCTGAAGGCTGAAGATTTTTTACCTTCATGCATTCTATGCATGAAAGTAAGAAACCCTCTATGTGCAGCAGCCCCCCAATACACACCTTAGCCCCCTCTCAATCCAGTGATGTGCGCTGGAGTCTTGGCTCTCCCGGGACTCCCTCTTCTCGTTTGCTGAGAAAGAAGCAGGAGCCATTGGCTCCCACTGCTGTCAAGCACAGCCAGTGAGCCAATGAGAAGTGGGAGGTGGCAGGGCCGACTCACGGCTCGGTGTTTGAATGGACGCATGGAGCATTGGCTGCCCCATAGCAAGCTGCTGGCAGGAGGCAGGGAACAGGAGCGTTGATGGAGGATCCAGGCTGCTATATGCAAAACCACTGCACACAGCAGGTCAGTATATCATGTTCATTTTATTTTTTTAAAAATAAGCCTTTAGAATCACTTCAATTTTTGTTGTTAATACCAAGATGCTGCTTTCGATCACTATGTGTTGGACAGTAGGAGTTTGATCAAGAACTTCCAAATACTGAATACCTACATATAGATGTATACTAAGGGGACACTTCAGAATACATATTTTCTAACTTCTGTTGCTTTTCTTTATGACAGGATCGAGCGGAGAGTCTTGTGCTGAAAGTGCTTGTCTTGTTCAAAACAAATGAGATAGAGAAAGCAGTTCAGTCACTAGAAAAGAATGATGTGGACATGCTAATGAAATACATCTACAAGGGCTTCGAGTCTCCATCTGACAACAGCAGTGCAGTCCTACTGCAATGGCATGAAAAGGTGAGACTCCAGCAATTAAAGAACCATATATATCTATAAACTGTTATGACTACAGCCAGGACCGGAACGAGGGATGGCAGGAGGGGCGGCTGCCCTGGCCGCAATGGTTTATTGCAGGGATTGGGCACCCTGTGCTGAGTTCCTTCTGTTACAAAGCTGACAGGATTAGTGACAGCGGCATCACTTCTCCTGTCAGCTCAGCGCTGGGAGCAACCAGGAGAGTGCCGGGAGGAGGTGTGGTGTGTGCACCCCCAAACGAATCCCCTAAGCTAGCACATCATGACCTGGAAGGAAGAGGGGCACAGTTTAGTGTCTTTAGTATCCTGGGTGCTGGATGACTTTGTACCAATACTGACTTAAGCAACAGTCTTTCACTGTTCTGATTTGTCTAAATTGACAGAAGTGACATGCTAATTGGCACTTAAGGGTTAGCATTGCTCTTTGCACATACTTTTACATTTTAGGACGATTTTACACATGGGACGATTACATGTGTGCCCCGTGCAGGGCTGTGTTTTAGCAACACAGGGATGCACATGTGTGTGGGAGCATCCCTGTGCTGGCAGCCCCATTGTGGTCTATTGAGACACAGCTGCTGTGTCCCAATATAACGTTCACTGAAGCCCGCCTCACCACCTGCCCCCTGGACCCTATCCCCTCACAGCTCCTCCAGTCACCCCCACCCCCTCATCATTCGCTCTCTCACCCACATCTTCAATCTCTCCCTCTCAACCTTCCCCTCCCCCCTAAAGCACGCACACATCACACCCCGATACTCAAAAAACCCTCCCTTGACCCCACTAACTTTAACAACCTTAGACCAATCTCCCTCCTGGCCTACAATCGCCTAAGCACCCACCTCACTGATAACAACCTCCTTGACCCCCTACAGTCTGGCTTCTGTCCCCTGCACTCCACCGAAACCGCCCTACTTAAAATCACCAACGACCTGCTAACCGCCAAAGCCAATGGCCACTATTCTATCCTGCTCCTCGACCTCTCCGCGGCCTTCGACACTGTTGACCACCCTCTCCTCCTTGCCAAACTGCACTCCCTTGGCATCAGGGACGCTGCTCTCTCCTGGTTCTCCTCCTACCTTTCCCAACGCTCCTTCAGCATCACCTACAACACTGCCTCCCTCCCCCCCCCTCTCCGTCGGGGTCCCCCAAGGCTCTGTCCTCGGGCCCCTCCTCTTCTCCATCTATACCTCCTCCCTTGGCAAACTTATTCACTCCCACGGCTTCAGTTACCACTCTATACCAACGACACCCAAATCTACCTCTCCACCCCCCACCTCACCCCCTCACTCTCTGCCGGCATCGCCCATCTCCTAAACGACATATCAGACTGGATGTCGCTCCATTTCCTCAAACTTAACATATCCAAAACCGAGCTCCTGGTCTCCCCCCCCCCCCCCCCCCCCCCCCCCCCATCCTCTCCTCCATCACTACTAACAACGCCACCATATCTCCCACCCCACACGCCAATGTCCTGGTTGTCACCCTGGACTCCCACCTCTCCTTCCTACCCCACATCCAACTGCTATCTAGATCTTGCAGGCTGCACCTCCGCAACATCTCCAAGATACGCACATTCCTCACCCCAGACACCACCAAACAACTCGTACACTCCCTCATCATCTCACGTCTGGACTATTGCAATTCCCTTCTCACTGGCCTACCCAAACGAACGCTATCCCCACTCCAGTCGATCCTAAACTCAGCGGCTAGACTCATCCACCTCACCAACCGCTCCACATCTGCCTCCCCCCTCTGCCAATCCCTTCATTGGCTCCTGATTGCCCAATGCATAAAATTCAAACTTCTAACTCTGACCTACAAAGCCATTCACAACGCCGCCCCAAACTACATAACTGACCTGATACCCAAATACTACCCTACCCGTGCCCTCCGCTCCTCACAGGACCTCCTACTCTCTAGCTCCCTGGTCTCCTCCTCCCACGCCCGATTGCAGGACTTCTCTAGGACTTCCCCATCCTCTGGAACTCCCTACCCCAATCCATCAGACTGTCACCTACCCTCCTCACCTTCAGGCGCACCCTGAAAACCCTCCTCTTCAGGGAAGCCTACCCCAACCTCACCTAACACCTGACCTCACCTAACAACTAACCTCCTCCACTCCTCCCGCCACTCCATCCCCCCACCGCCATTTCCTCCTGTTACCACCTTCCCCTCCCTCCTAGATTGTAAGCTCGAAAGAGCAGGGCCCTCGAACCCTCGTGTATTGTATTGTTACTGTCTTGTCTCATGTTCTGTCCCCCCTGCTAATGTACAGCGCTGAGCAAACCCTTTGGCGCTATATAAATACTGTATAATAATAATAAGATGCCTATTGCTCAAATAGTACATGAACTTCTTTCCAAGCATATTTGGGAGTTTTGGACCTCCATAGAGTTCACTGGGAGTGCCTGAAAAAAGGCATGTTGTGCCAAAGATTCTTCTGTATAGCAAATCACTCCTAAAGCATACAAAAAAAAACTTAAAATTGACAGAATACGTTCCATTCCAGTGTGAATGTAGCCTGAAACCTGTAGTGGGTGGTCTGATATGGGAAAAGTGACCAGTTCCTATAGTAGTGAGCCCCCCCCCCCCCCATCCCTTACTATATATTTTTTTTTGTATGGATTACAGCTTCTCCACCTTCCAGATTACACCTCTCAGAGCTTGAGCTACCAAGGCAATATCAAGTTAGGAGGGTTGTGGGATGTGCTTACCCTTATACAGTATTTTCTATTAAGTTTGGGGGGTACATCAGGGTAGTGTGAAGTAGGGTTAAGGTACAGTGGGGCACCTTGAGGAGGGGAAAAAAAAAAGTGGTGTACCTGCCCTACAAAGAAAGTGTTACTTGCATTTCTTTCTTCAGGTATAGTTTTTAAAGCAGTTGTAAAGGCTCAAGGTTTTTACCTTCATGCATTCAAACCTTCTGTGTGCAACAGTGCCCCCAACCCCTTCAGTACTTACCTGAACCCCATCGAGATCCATCGTTCTGCACAACAGCCTCGGCTGTCCCTGGTTTCTGCCTCCTCATTGACAGACAGCAAGCGGGAGCCATCGGCTCCAGCTGCTATCAATCACAGCCAGTCAGCCAATGAAGAGAGGGGGTGGGGCCAAGCCACAGCTCCATGTCTGTGTGAATGGACAGCAGGTGCACCTACAGCAAGCTGCTTCCTGTGGGGGCACCCAACAGAAAGGAGGAGCCAGGAGAGCCTGCGGGGGACCCGAGAAGAGGAGGAAAAAGCAAAAACACTACACACAGCAGATAAGTAAAACATGTTTGTTATTTTATTTTTAAAAATATATGAACGTTTAATATTGCTTTAAGATAATATTCCTAGTTTTGGGAAGTAATCCTGATTGCCAAAAGCCACCTTTTTAGGTGTGAATGCCTTTATGTGTAGTTGACACTGAAACATTCTCATCTTGCAGGAAGCAATAGATTATCGACCAAACAAATTAAACCCAGCCCAATTATCTGTTGTCCTATAGGTGCAATCATTCATTTTTGCTGATTTAACCAGCAAGAGGCAAAAGTTCTCAGAATCCAACCTGTTTGTGCATTGAGGGATCCGAAGGTTTATGCAAAAATAACAAGTTGGACCATAACTGCATCTGAGCTTGTGCAGCCAATTTGGCACCGATTTACAGTTCTTAATTTGAACAGATGGATTTCCGTTTTATGGACGGTTTAGTCATTGTGAATAAATATCTCCATAGTGATGAAATGTAAAAGGCTCATTCCATATTTTAATGTGGTTATTTCTGTTATAACTAAAGTCTGGTGAACTAATTTGCCCATTAGCTTTCTTTATCTCTTGGGGACTCAAGCTGTGAGGTTTCCAGGCTGTAGTTCCTGCTGTGTTCTGCCTACTTTGATGTTCCAAGGAAAATTGTGCTGCAACAAAAACAAGCTTACTACATAGAGAAAGAAAGATGATCTGCAATTGCGACTAATATAAAGCTGTTCCAGTCAACGTTTTGTTATGGCATGGCATACTGGAACAGCCATTGGTGATCTCTGGTGACAGAGATCAACAATGGCAACCCCCATATTTTCTTTAATGACAAGCTTCCTCTCAATCCTTTTTGCCACTGTAGGAATTTTCCTAATCCAACATGGAGAGCAGGATCACTCTTAAATGAGCATGACATAGGTGCAGACCCTGGGACCTTGGAGAGATCGTACTATTGCAATTATTACTATACACGAGGGACCTAAAAAAAGCTCAGGCTTCTTGCTGATTGCCTAGCTCTGATTCTGCAATGGGGTGAACACCAACGCAAAGGGACTGCTGATTCCACGGATAGCAGCGATCCTTTCTTAGCCTCTTGCCTAGCCATGTAATATGCACTTGGTGCTTACTAATGTTCAATTAAGTGAATAAAATAAGGAATAATTGCAAAATTTTGTTTTCCTACAAAATGCAATGTAATTTTTGAGGCATAATAATAAACCATGTTCACTTGCTGTAAAGCCGCATACAGTCATGTGGGAAAAAAAAAAAAAACCCCATGGAAATTGTTGAATTTTTCAACTTGACTGGCAAACTTTAGATCGTTAGAACAGTGTCTACAGATAAAGGTTTCTTGAACTTACATGTGAAGTGGACATGGTATTTATTTTCGTGATTAGTTAACAAAATGCAGATTTGTCATATGGAAAGAGGACTCAGATCAACAATTCCACCGAATGAAAAACATGACCTAGATTTCCAGCAACTGCTGGATGGTCCAGGACTGGCCAGCTCTGCAAGTCCAACCCTGGAGCTGACAGTTTGATGCTAAGTTATCTGTAAGTACCCCACAATTTCATTGTGAGGTAACCCTTGCAACAGTTTGGGTCAAAGTGCTTGTATCCACAATGCACAACCCTTTTAACCTGCATGAGAGGTGTGTTAAGAGAGCTTTTGCTGTCCAAAGAACACTGCAGCAAGATTGATTTCCACACACAGATTTTAAATCATGGGAAATTATTTGGAGCCCATTTATGGTGTCTGCAAGGTAGCAATGGACGTTTGCTGAGAACTGAACATGGCATTTTAGGAGAGAAACATCATAACAACTGTGAAGCATGATGATGGAAATGTTATGGTCTGGAGTTGCATGCTGATCCAGAGCCTGGGCAGCTTTCAGTCATTGAGTCGCTGTATAAATTCTACATCATATGAAAGTGTGCTTGATGAGAATGTGGTGCCATTTCTTCAAAAGGTGAAGTTGAATCAGAAATGAGGCTTTCAACATAATCTGAAGTACTCTAGAAACTCACAAACATCTTGCAGCGGAAAGAATTTTGCATGGAGAGAGTGGGGGGCAGTTATACAAAATACCTACAAGAAGTAATTTCTGCTAGAGGGCAATATTTGTTTTTGATTGCCAAGGAGGTACTTGCTTTTTCCACAGTAAACATTACATATATGGATATTTTTGTTGAATAAATGATTGAAAAGGCATATTTTTGTATCTTACCTGTATGGATAAAGATATATAATGCTTTCTTGATAACATGTTGAGAAAAATCGACAATGTTCATTGGCTGTGCCTGATTTTTCACATAACTGCAAGTCTTGCATGTATTGATTTCTCATTAAATAATATGAAGTGACTTCCCTATTTAAGACTGTTGTCTCAATTTTCGAATTGTTTTCTTTGCAGGCTTTGGCCGTGGGTGGAGTGGGTTCTATAGTCCGGGTTCTGACTGCCAGGAAGACGGTTTGAATGTTCAGCTGGTTACGATCTATTGAAGAGCTGGTGCCAAGACCAAAACCCTGAACCGCAGCAGCCTTGCTGTGGCCGACCAACCTCTCTATCACTGCCCATATTTTTTCTTTCTCCCTCGCCCTATTTCATTTTTGATACACTTTTGAAGTCTGCAGTACCTGTGAGAGTGTGCTGTGAGTGCAGTGCTTTGTTGATATGAGTGTTAAGTTATCAGTACACGCCCTCAATGAGCTGGGCTCTATTGAACAACCATCACCCTTCTTATTTGTACAGGTTGCAGTGATATCTGCTTCTTGGTGAATTGTATTGCGCCTTATAACCTCATTCTTGTCAGGGCTAATTCCCCACAGCTTGGCTCCCAAAGCTAGCTGAAACCCTCTTCCTTTACCTCCCTGCTTCTGCCACACCTCTACCCCCCCACTATTTGGATAGTTTTCTCAGGGGTGGCATTTTGCAATCTAAGGATTTTATACCATGGAACATCTTCCAGAGACGTAGCTAGGGTCACCCAATGCCTATTTGGCAACACCTGGATTGCATCCAACTCCCTCAGGTCCTAGGTGTATAAAGGGATAAATTATGCAGTAAACCTTCTCACTCTGCTGCTGTGACATCTTGGGTTCCTTTCTTTAACCAACAAAATGAGGTATTGTCTACTTCAAGTTCACCAGTCACACACACAGTGGTGGAGCCATTTAGTGGGTCAAGTCAACCACAGACTGGCATTGTGCATTGATATAGCAGTGCGACGTTGCTGGTTTCTGACAAATTGTTAGACTGGATAATATGCATTTAGCCATTACTTGCAAAATGGCCACCTCCTCTGTGTGTAGGGGACATATGCCTTCTTTAAAGAAAAAGTACTGTGTAATTTAAAAGAAAAATGGTTTGCACTTATTATAGATTTTGGTAGACTATAGATCAAATTCTAAACTTTTATGTGACTCTGGGCATATTTCAGATTGCAGAAAAGTGTCAGCATATGCTTGTACTGCTCCTCCACCTATGACCTTGGTCATTATCTGCTTCAGTAGAAAAATAAAAGGCAAGACAGAAGCCCTCTAGCATCCAGTCGGCTTTTACTCTTTCCCTTTTTATAGGGCTGATTAGAAAATGAAAAGATAACGCTAAACAGTTGTGAAGGTACAAAATATATATTTTATCAGGCACTTTTGATTATTAGACTCACTGAGGTTGGGGTTTCTAAGGACAAGTGAACTTTTTAGTACATTTGTCCTTTAATCCATTCCCCACCACCCCCCCTGAGTGCAGGCTGCCTGTTAAAATACTTACCTTCCTCCTTGTTCAGCGATATTCACTGTACATCCTGCTCAGAATCCCACAGTCTTTGCTCAAAAATGTTCACACTGTGTATGCTTAATGGGAAACCCAGCTTTAACATTTTCTGAGCGATTGCTTTGCAGTCCCAGGATTGGCTGCACAGTGAATTTAGCTGGACCAGGGAGGAAAGATATATACAAAAGTCCACCTTTCCTGTAAAAGTTGAACTTGGCATCTGAAAAGGGGCAGACTGACCATTTGGAAACTCGGGCACTGCCCGGGGTCAGTAGGGAGGCCCCCTGAGATGCCCCTGGTACCTTTTTTCGTAGGCTTTTTTTGAGTTTGGGCAAGGACACAGGGGCCCCATGATCCCTTATTGCCCGGGGGCCCCAAGAGTTGTCAGTCCGCCCCTGCATCTGAAGCCAAGTTCAGCTAAACTGGACCTTGAAAGAAAAGTGTGACTTTAAAAAAACCTATAGGGAGATGGTGGGGCCAAGCTCAACTTTTACAGGAAAATTTGGCTTTGCGTTTAACCTTAGCTGCCTGTGTCTGAATCCTACTGATCATTTTGACCTTTTTTTGCACTGAAAGTAACCTCTGTTGTTAACCAAATACTATGTTATAAGTAGGTAATATTGTTACAGGTTTACTTAAGATCTTGGAAAAGCCTCTTTTTCCTTTGTCTTGCTGATCTTCCAAGGCTTAGCTGGATTTGGTTAACAAGCATTTAAAGCTAAAGTCCATCTCTAGTATTACAATTTACAGGGTTTGATTAGTATTTAAAATGACTAATAAGCCAGACTAATGTACCAGACACAGCAATGGGGCTGGGTATTTTTTGGCATCTCCATCAGCTGTTTTCCCAGGATACTCTACCCACAAATACTTGATGAACAGTCATATGGATAAGCATGAATGCTGGAGGATGTCAGTCCCTGAAGCAATTAAGAAGCAGCTGCTATAGACCGCTACATGTCCTACCAAGAAACCTCACATGTTGGTGTTTTGACAATCTGAAAGTACCCAAGTGCAGAGTTGGCTTTAGGGCCTCTGCCTCTCTTCCAACAGGCTCACGGTTGTAAAGGTTAGGGAAATTGCTGGGAAAGTAATCCATGTAGCAGATAGTCATGCAGGTCCCCTGTATTCTGCAGAGCAGAGCTTACAAATGGACTTGCTGCAGTACTGTCATGGGTATGTTAGCATGATTATGAAATGGAAAGCACCTTGCAACCACATACCCACAGAGGTTGAAGCCTTATTCCCATATTTGCTGCAGGGGCCTGTAATGTTGACACTTTCATGGCCAGGCCCTTCGCACTGATGTAATGATACTTTGCTTTTTTTTTTTTCTTTTTTTTTTTTTACAAATTAAATATTGATTTGGATATTTGTGTTCATGTGTTTTCATTGAATTTGTTCAAAATTATATATATTTTCACATAATGTATTTTTCCCGTAAAGAAAGTATTCCGGATTATTTCAAAGAAAAAATATGGGAAATTGTTTGTGGTTTTTTTTTTTTTTTTTTTTTTTAAATCATGTTTTACCTAGGTGGATGCAGCATCAATCTGTTGCTGCATCTGCCCCCTGCCAGCTGTAAGGGTGAGAACTTGAGTTATCACAGCCATTTGAGCAGAGCAGTGACTGTCAGTATTGTGCTTTGTGTGCTCTAAAATTAAGTGAATTAAATCTATTTTTTTAGACAGAAAATTTAGATTTAATAAGTGTTATTTTGTGATATATAAAATATTGCAACTGCCCCCATTTAATTGCATAGCGTCTCTGCTTTTGCTGTGCAACCACCATCACTTGAGCAAGTTGAACTGCGCATTGTGAATGGACCCGCAGCCTCCTGGGAGCTGTGATGTGTCCCAGGAGGGTGGGGGGGGCAAACTTCCACTGGACTTGCCTAGGTGCGTTAGAGTGGGTACCTGCAAGAACTAGGTTCCTGAGGAACCTAGCTGAAGGTCCACACTGTAATAACCTCTCCTGAAAGGCCAGAAGCGACTGGGCAGTCTGAGCCACTGCATTTATCTGGCATTGTGGCTACTACTGGGGCATCTGCCTCGGCATATGTAACCAAGGACAATTTTGCTTCAGCCTTAGCGGGGTTAGAATATAAGATCACTGGGATGATTGCAACGGTTTCTCAGGGAACTAAGCGGGATAGATCCCCACCACTAGAACCACCAATCCTGGAGCAGGAGTGGGTGGAGGATGAGGAAGAACTAGATGAAGGTCAGGTAGGAGAATCTCTATCTGAGGAGTCACTGAGGAGAAGCAGGGGGTCTCTGCCTCCCAGTCTCCGATTTTTTAGTCCAGGACCTCACTGATATGGTGCGATCTGGATTCAAGTTACCTCTGAGGTTACTTATTCTCTGGGCAACTAAGAGTACTCAGGCTTTTCCGGTGCATCCTCTTCTGGAGCAAATTATGCTGACTGAGATTCATCCAGACAGGGTATTTGTTCCACCAAAGAGGTTTTCTTTTTTGTACCCCATGGAAGAAATGTTTAGAAATGGGGTTTGCCTATAGTGGGTGCAGCTGGTTCATCCCTGAATAAATCTTTAACATGTCCTGTGACTAATGTCTAGGTTTTCAAGGATCCAGCAGATAAGAAGCTGGAGTCTCAAAACCTTGAGGCCTTCTTCTCTATGGCAGGTTCTGCCGCACAGCCAACATGGCAGCTATTGGTATTTGCCAGAGTCTTTCTGACCGTGTCAAGTGAAGGCTTGATAGATAGTTGGATAGGGAGAATGTTTCGGGATGCTTGGTTTTGCGCTTCTGCTTTTGGACTCAATTCAACTCCAGCAAATTTCTTGTTTTGGCCCATCATTTGGCTTTACACAGGGTTTTTTTGCAGTAGATGGTTAGGCTACTTGCTATTGTTGCAGATTTCAATTCATGGAAGACACGAATTAAATCTTGACAAATATACACCGAGCAAAAGATTTCACGGGGGGAGTTTTCCCTCTATGGAAAGATCACATGCTACAGCTGTGCAACCACCAGTGAAATGACAGGGTTTTATTGGGTGATGTGTGTATTCTCAGAACCTAGAAGAATTTGGCAGAAGAATGGCAGAAGGTTGCCATGCAAAAATTGTTGGCAGTTTGATCTGCTTAAGGACATCAGAATTTCTTAGAGTACCTCTAAGATCACTATGATTGCAAGGTTCTTGCTTGATCCAAAACACACACTCTTATCAGTGCACATGGTCTATGAGGGTATTTGTAGGCGGGAAAGTTGTGAGGGAGTGGCAGCAGGGGGCGTCATGCAAAAAATTGTTGGCAGGTATTCTCTTTTGGTGGAGAACGATTGGAAAGATTATGGACAAAATAATATCTTCAGCAAATTATTTCATCCAAGAATGGTATTTGTTCCACCTTCTACCCTTTATGTATTTATTGAAAGATCAAATGTATAGTGGGTGCAACCTATCATAACCAAAAGTCCCTGTGAGAAGATTCTATGTTTTCAAGGTCCTGGACACTCTTGTCGGGCCACATTTCTTTCTTTGGCAGGTTCTGCCGCACTAGTAAAGCTATTGGATGCCATTCACCGTGCATTGATAGTATAGAGAGTTGAGGAATCGAACATTTGCATAGTTGCTTTGGCATGTGGCAAATTTCTTGCTTGGCCCCTCTTTCCATTGCATACATGAAACTCCCATGAGACCCTGGGGAAGATTTGATGTAATCTACAAATCAAAAATG